ATTCAAATTGTTCCAAATGGATGTTAAGAGTGCATTTCTGAATGGATATGTGAAGGAAGAGGTTTTTGTCAAACAACCACTTGTTTTTAAATGCCATGAACATCCCGAACATGTCTTCAAGCTTGATAAGGATTTATATAGATTGAAGTAGTCCCCTCATGTATGGTATGAAAAGTTGTCCAGGTTCCTTCTAAAGAATGGCTTCACTAGAGGGAAAATTGACAACACTCTTTTTTCTAAAGAAAAGAGGGAGGAACCTGCTGATTGTGCAGGTCTATGTTGATGACATCATTTTTTATATAACAAATTATTCTGTGTGTGAGGAGTTCGCAAAGCTTATTGGGAGTGAGTTTGAGATGAGTATGATGGGAGGACTAAACTTCTTCCTAGGACTACAAGTTAAGCAAACCTCTAAGGGAATGATGATTAATCAGCAGAAATACGTTAAGGAGATTCTGCAGAGGTTTGATATGGATAGCTCAATGTCAATTGGTACTCCGATTGCTACTGCCATTCATCTAGACAAGGACGAACCTGGTTCCCTTGTAAATGAAACTATGTCTCGGGATAACATTGGATCTCTCTTGTACCTTACAGCCAACAGACCTGACATTGTGTTTAGTGTTGGGTTATGTGTTAGATTCCAATCAAGTCCTAAAGAATCCTATTTGAAAGCTGCCAAAAGAATTCTGAGGTATCTCAAAGGAACACAAGACCTGGTTCTCTATTATCCCTCGGGAGATAATTTTAATTTAACTGGGTATACTGATGTTGAATATGCTGGTTATCTGGTGGATAAAAAGAGTACATCTGGCATGGCTCAGTTTCTAGGTTCATGCTTGATTTCATGGGGTACAAAGAAATAAAACTCTGTGGCTTTCTCTACTAAAGAAGTTGAATATGTGGTAGTTGCCTCCTGTTGTGCCCAATTGATGTGGATCAAGAAACAATTGGAAGATTTTGGTATTTTTTTCTGGTTGTGTGGTTTTGTTTTGTGACAACACAAGTGTACCCACAATATGGCAAAGAACCCGGTTCAGTATAAGAGGACAAAGCATATTGATGTACGACATTATCTCCTTAGGGATAATGTTGAAAATGGCTCATCTGTATGAAGTTCTACAGGACAGAGGACCAGGTAGCGGATATCTTCACCAAAGAACTAAGCACAGAACACTTTGAAAAGAATTGACTGGAGTTGGGTTTGATCATATTGAACTGAGAACCTCGTCCCTCGATGACTGGCTATGAAATGATGGTAAGGTAAACTGCTAAAAAGTGTTTTCTGGAAACTTTTAACTCAATTCTATTCCATTATAGGTAATCACGCATGGCAACTACAGGACAAACAAACAGCTAATGACATTGCAATTTTCGGAAGGATGATGCTCATATTTTCAAAATTAGTGAGGGAACTTGTTTCCTATGATTCAGGTTAGTAGTTCCTCTTACACTCATATACGTTTTTGAACTGCTAGTGTGCCATGTCATTAATAGTTCCGCCTTTTCCCAAAACTCTTAAATCCAAAAGACACACCTATTAAGAACTGACTCGTCAACCCGTTTTATTAAATCGCGTCCATTTGTAAATGGTGCCTCCTTTCCCTCTAAATAACCCCAAAAAGGCAAGGCTCTCTCATAACTGTCTACATCAAACACACTTTCTCTCTGAAAACCCTCTTCTTGTGTCTTCACTCTCCAAAATCTACCACGTTTTCACCAGAATCTGAGTCTCCAAAAGCCATCACTGAAATCTCTACTATGTCTTCGTCTCCAAAAGCCACCACTAAAATCCCTACTATGTCTTAGTCTCATGAAGCATAACCATCAGTATCGGAGCCCCAACCTTCACCCTATAAAACCCCAATTTCCAGCCAACCACCACCTACAGTGTCCTCCCCCACTCCATCCAGTTCCCCTTCCCATCGCAACCGAAAAATACAAAATCCTAAAACGTTTATTGCTTCTCCCTCACTTTTTGCTACCACGGAGAAAATGGATATAGAAGGACCTTCGTCCACCTCCTGTTTTCTCCAAACCACAGAAGAACTAGTGGGAAGGAGATGAAGGTGCAGAGGTCTCTAGTCAATGTGTTGAGAAAGAAGTTGTGGACAAAGTGATTGTCACTGGTCCAGGTAGTGATGAGTCAGTATCTGGTGTCTCTGAAACCCCAAATGTTCAGGGGTTTGATATGAATGTTCTATCATCATCAGGTAATACTCCACCCATCCTTACTGATATTGCGTTGTTGGATACTGAGGGTGAGAAAGGTGAAAATATTTTGACTGTTGTTACTGAGGGAAGTCCAGTTGGGGATTCTGTGTCTGGTTGTGTGAGTATTGAGGTTCATGAGGAGGAAGTTCATTATTTCTATGTTGATTTGTTTATAGTAGAAGGCGACACCATCTGTTTGAAGGTTAATGGGGTAGACTTTGTGATTGATGAGGCTGTGCTCGAGGATATTCTTGAGGTGCCTGCTGAAGGGCTCTCAACTGTGGAGGGGACCTAATCCCCAGGTTTTAGTAATCTTATTCTCAAGCCTCGAGCTATTCAACAAGGGGAACGAGTACATAATAAGGCACAACTTCCAGAATACCAACTCCTATTTGTGTTGGTGAACAAGGTCTTTCTACCAAGAGCTGAAAGGCGATCCATTTCCTTTATTGTGAACCTAGTTCTTTTGGCGACACTGGATGACTACACTCCCATTAATCTGCTTGGGATTTTGATTGCGCACATAAAGAAGGTGGCAGACTTCAACGATGAAAATCATTGGTTTCCATATGGGTTTCTGCTCACAAAAGTCTTTGAATGATTTAAGGTCCCCTTGGGGAGAGCAACTGTGAGAACTCGTGAACGAATGTTCTCAATGAACACCTTGGAGGAATGCAAGCGTGTTTCTAAAAGGGGGGAATAGGCAGACATTCACAATGCATCAACCTATCGATGCTCAGAATGTTGCTAATAAGGAAATCAGGAGGTTGAAGGCCCAAAATGCTATTCTTGAGGGTAAGCTCAATCAAGCTAGCATGGAACCTGGTTCAAGTAGTGCTCAGGGTACAGAAGTTGCCCGCTTGCTGGCTGACAATATAGAGTTGAGGAGACAGGTAGAGAAGCAGTTGATCAATAATCAGAGAGATGCTAATGCTCATGTGGATGGTTTCCTCAAGGCTCTTGCTCCCACGTCCTTCCTTTACTCTTCTAGTGCCCCCTAACTTATCCCTTTGTCAGTGTACTTTTTGTCAGTCCCTGCCAAGTCTTACAATGTTCCTTTTTTTGTTATCTGTCCCCTCTAGTTATGGTATTCTAGTCATGTTTAATTTGTGTATGATTTTGTATTGATGGTACTGCTACAATGGTTCTTTTTCCTTAAATTAATGAGCATCTTAGTCCTTTTTAAATGCATGTTGTACTCTTATGTTCTATTTTTAGCTATGTTGTATGCACACAAGTGGCATGAGTTAACTTTGCTGGATTTCTTTTTACGTTTACTTGTCTGATTTTTATGATGCCAAACAAAGGGAAGAAAATTGAAGGGGAGAAACAGGTTCTCATGGGAAATATGGCTATTATGCAGGGGGAACAATGTGGACATCTGGTTCTCAGGGGAAATATCAATTATAAATTTGTCATCATCAAAAAGGAAAAAATTGATAAGTTATGTGTCTTTTGTTTTGATGATTTAACAAACTTCATATGAGAACCAGATAGGGAACCCGATACAACTAGCTCCTCCGTATTTAGAATAACAAGTCAAAAGTCTGACACAAGTTTCAATGAAATCAGTTAAGGAAACAACATAGGGAACAAGTAGATATCAGTTCCTCCGGTCACAATACAAGTTAACTCTTACAGTTGTTAAAGTTACTGCACTGCACACGCAATAATTCAACAACACTGTTGAAGCATGTTGTGTACCAGACACTCCCTTGCATCATCTTTGATGACCTCACTTATATATTACCAACATGAGGTAAGAGATTACATACAATTGCAAAACCAAAAACATATTTTACTCTCAAGTGTGCAGCCGCCTTCATTCCCTCAAAGACAATGAAGAACAAAACAGCAACATAACGTATGAGTGGATCTCAGCATTGATTACATCATGTGTCCTTATTATTGTTGTGTCTTTGTTTAAATTATTCATTTGTAACTCCTACTCATCTTATTTAGAAGCATCTCATAGGACACTTTGCAAACCATAAACCTTGTGGTTGTGTTGACTAGAGTTAGTCAAGTGGTTAGCTTTGTAATAGAGTTATTACAAAGGGGCTTGAAATATCGTTATTGTAAATAAGTGAGTGATTAAGAGTTTAATTTATAGGTTATAATCTAAAGTTGCTCAGTTAGTGAAGTTGAAATCCTACGAGTGTAGGTTGTGATTTTTAATCCCATGAGATGAGAGTTTTCCGTTTCCTTCATAACAAAATACGTTTTCTAAAACTCATATTATGCGAGTTGATTTAGTATACAAATATACTAGTTAGCGATACAAAAATTAGCCAGCTTAAACAAGACAATTCCTTTTTCGCTATTAGTCATTCAATTTATATTTTATTTCACTAAATTCCCAAATATATTTTTGTAATAAAAAAATTACTCAACTTTGTCTAAGTATCATAGAAAGTCACTAAACCATTTGTTGTAACCAAAACATTCACTCACTTTGCCTAAGCATCATAGAAAATCACTTAATAATTATGTTTTAACCAAAAGGCTATCATAGAAAATGTTACATTAATTTCCACGTAGTGACTTTATGTGATATATAAGAAGAGTTGAGTAATTTTTTGGTTACAGAAAATAGTTCATTTACGTTCGTCATATTTAGGTAAAGTTGAGTGATATTTTAGTATAAAAAATAATAACTTTGTGTAATAAAATAAAAATTGAGTAACCACTCATAGTAACCCCACAAAATATTATAAACAAACTAGCTAAAAGGAAGCCGAGCATATCGAACATTGCTTAGAATACATAATAAAGTTAAGAGATACTTCAATACAACCATCAAGTATGGTTACAATCTTTATTTCATAAATCACTTAATATCATGAGGCATACAAAATGTAAATTCACAAACGCAGGAAGACACACAATACATTATATGCAATATCAATCATGGTACACAGAAGCATTTGGCCTAGGCTCAAAATCTTCAGTAAATGACTTTTCTTGTTTAAGACCAGCATCATCATCATGATAACCAGTTATAGTAGGCCTTGGCTCGAAATCTTTCGTAAATAATGATTTCTCAGCTTCTTTCAGCTTGGCATCGTCGTGGTAGACAGATAGATTAGGCCTTGGTTCAAAGGCTTCACCTCCAATAGAAGTTGATGTGTAACAATCAGGTTTTTCTTTGGAGAGAGGAACTGAATGCCGATGCATAAGATGTTTGATTGCTTCAGGCATTGGCTCATCTTTCATCACAGCTCTCCAGTATTCTCCAAGGTCTTTTCTTGCATTAGTGCTGCTTGTGTACTGCTCGAGAAAGAGAGACCATAAAAATACTTTTGAATATATGCTATATGAATTTCTTTATGTTCGAGTACATAATCTATATATTCTGATATGCGCAAATATTCGGTGCATGTAGGGGAAAATGTAGGCTTTAATATATGGGTTCGGCAGAACTCAGTAATGTTTGTCAAAAAATTCTATGTATGTATTCAAAAATTCACTAAGTATATAAAGAAATTAAAGTCACTTTGAGATCGTCCTAAAATCAAGAATCCACAGAATTCTAATGTTACATCTACCTTTGTAGATACTGGGCATGTAAATATTTAGTATTGGCAAATAGAGTTCTATGTAAAATTCTAGTTCATTTTGAAGAGCAATTTGCAAAAAAAAAAATTATTCTTATTTACACATGTTCGATGGGGATACGCCAAGACAAATGAATGATCCGGTTAAATAGGCTAAACCTCTCACTATCTAGATGGGCTTAAACGACTAGGTTTGTGCAAAAATCAAACGTTAGTTATGCTCAAGAAGCAAGCATTCTTTTTTTAACAGTCGAGAATATACTATCCCGTCTGTTTTAGATTTACATGAACCTATCTCCTTTTGATTCAGTATGAACCCGTTTCTAATAAGGAAACTCTTTTAATTTTTGGATTCCAATATTACCTTTAATAAAAGGTTTTCATAACCACATAAATGGTATCACATATTTAATACTACATGTTTTAACAATTTTATAGGCACACAAATATTATGGTATGTTTAATATCATAAATTTGAAAAGGTTTCAACTTTATGGAAACCTATGTGCCCAGTAAAGTAGGTTCACACAAATTGAAAGATATGGAGCATAAGTTAAATAATTCAATTATTAATATCTGATATGAAAAGACGTTATAATTTGAAACGCAAGGCAGTTGAAAGAGAAGAGCATGATAGTGCACCAAGAAAGTAGTAATTAATAATAACCCACCAAAAAGGAGGCATATCATTACTCATCTGTAAAAACTTACCAGAGCAAGTGAAAAGAGCAATAGGCGATTTCATTGTCACTTCACTAGGAATATGTATGACTCAGAAGCTGTTGTTATTGATCTTTGCTTGAAGCATATTATGAGCTTATATAGACAGGTTAAGCTATTATAAAAGCATATTGCATGTAACAAGTTATTGTCAATCATGTTCAACATGATTCACACACTCCTGTAGGACCGATGAGAGACGTACAATAATCATAAACAAATAGGAGAAGGCCCCAATTAGCTTCTTTGACACGTATATTATTCGTGACCAAATCTTTTAAGTAGGCTCCATTTGCTCATAAATAATACTGCTGCCTATTCACGTTTTAGTGTTTGCAAATATCTGGCAATCAGTATCTATGATATTGCTTTTCAGTATCTTAGATAGTGGTAAAATATTAAAATTTTTTGTTCAACTTATGCTAGATCATTCCCAAGATAGCCATATGAGTTCTATTTCTATTTTCTTTTCCTTTTTTGTCCTAAACTTTTGTAGTATAAACTGATTTGCTTCAAATAAAAACAACAACGAGAGATGATTTAAACAAAATCAATTTGCTATATATTGAAAGCAATTATGCTATAATTTAGGCACATTAATAGAGGATTCCTATCTCGAAAAATCCCATAAACTGTTTATTCACAAATAGATCAAGACTTCAAATATTGTCTTTCTCAAAGCTGAAGTAATCAAGAGACATTCTTCCTCAAGATCAACTCAAGGAGCGCGACCGGCGCTCAATCGAGAGAACCCGGTCGAGCAAGTCTGTTAGATTTTCTTGTACCCAAACTTCTCCATGAATAAAGAGGAGATGTACTCCATTAATCAACACTGAAAAGATTTTATTCACAACTTCCTTTTCATTCCCATTAGTAGCTTCATTCATAATTTTCAAAAAATTACGAGTTAATAGAATTATTAAAAAATATGATTTTCAAATACCAACATTTCTAGTTCAATTCCCCAACATCAACCACAAACCACAACCTGTCTACGGAGCCTCTAAGTACAATACAAGAGTAATATAGAAATACCGAAAACAAGGCCTCAGCTATACCTCAAAACACAGTACATGAAAACAAAAGATACATGACCCAGAAATGAAGTGGGGCTCACCAAATCAGCTGAAAAAAGTGCACTGCTATCACTGATCAATGTCGCCTGCTGTAGAACCACCTGCATCCATTAAAGATGCAGCGCCCCTGGCAAAAGGGACGTTAGTACTGTCGAATAGTACTAGTATGCATAGCTAAAAGTCCTCTTTCAAAATAGAATGCCCATATAAAAAAAGGCAACACATAAAAACAGCAAGTCATAATCGACAATATCCAAATGTTCAGTTAAAACATAATAATTTTTAAAATACGAACTTCATATATAATTTTGGTCGGAAGATCATTAGCACCGATATTCCACCGTCTTTGTTAGCACGGAGTCCGATCACACCCGATCGGCTAGGCCATCTCCCCACGGACAATGTGGTTTGACAGGTGATGCGAAAGAAAGTTGTTACCAAGAGTAGTACCACCATGTGCGCAACATGGAGTCTGATCTCCACTCGATCAGCTAGGCCGTCTTCCCACATTTCCATTCCATAATTATTACCAGTTCATCCCAATTAAGGGGAATAATATCAGAATTTTATCCCAAATAAAGGGAATAACCAGAATCCACCCCTACACCGGCACGTGTAGTTTCAGATGTGGGCCTTATGACCCGCCCTTCCTCGGTTTTGCTAATGATGCTCCCAAAAATATTTTTGATTTGATTTTCACACAGAAATAATATAAATACAATTGTACTCACCTAAACATCTTTCACATTGTATAAGTTCTCATTAGTATTTCCATTCATTCATAATGACAATATTTCCTTGGCTCATTTGGCCATTCACAAGATTCTTTATTCCTGGCACAATGGTCGTATTTCATATTCCACACTTTCACCTCTTTCAATTTCAAAGATCACCATCAAATATCAACAAATAGAATATTTCAGAAATCATATACTTTAAATCCATTTGAAATGGGAACTTCAAACATTAATGGTTTCTTCCCAAAGAATGAGGCATACCAACCAACAATAGAAACACGCATGAAAAATCATAAACAATCAATACACCATTTATTTTTGCAATACTCTTCCCTAGAAATGACAATGTACAATTTCAACACATGAGTATATAGAACTCGAATCACACTGGATATATTTATAAAGCAAAGCCTTAGTTAAAGCAGCCACTAATGGGCATAAATTAAGTACAAAAGCTCTTAGGCAAATTCTATTTTCGAAGTCATTTTAAAACATTTGAGTCGAGGCTCATTTCATAGTCTTTATCACATATTCTCATTTCATTGGCACCACTAGCCACAACTATATCCTTCATTCTTGGCACGTTGGCCACACTCTATATCCCATATTCACTTATTTCACTTCCAACCATCTTTATACATTATCAATAATAAGATATTTACAATCAAGACTTTAGGTATACATATGAGCAATTAAGAGTCTTACAAATACTGAGATTTTCTCACACAATTTGGCATCATAACCTTCATTTGGAACACGACTCAAAACATAGTATTTTAATACACAAACCATACTTTGAACATCTATATTTCGACATAAGGCTCATTCGGAATAATTAAGTTTATAGGGAATAACCCGGAATATAGAAGTTAGTAATCTTGAGCCAATCATACTTGATCTTACAGAAACATTATGGAATTCAATTCTAAGAGAGAAAGTTTAGCCAACATACCTTGATGGAGCTCTTTAGTGCTACTAAAACCACCTACTACTCTTACAACTTCAATCTACATCTACATAATTCAATTGGACTAATATTAGTAACAAATTCCATAATTTAGGCCATTTAGGCATTTTATCAAACACCTAGTAGGTATGAATCTCTACATCTCTTACCCATAGAATTAGTTCATCCAACTACTACCATTTACCAATAATTTATCCCACCATCATTCTTAAACAATTCATAACTTCCAACATCACATACATGACCATCCATCCACACCCAACCAATAAAATTCCATCAATTAATCACCTTTCAATCTCTACAATGGATATGTATTTAAATTGGGAACTTATGGCTTCCAATCACCATACCATACGTTCCAATACTTAATTCATACTCATATTCCCATAATATATCAATACATGTAAGTCTAAGGGTGTAGGAGTACCTTTTGGAAGAAATCTTGCAAAACCCTCCTTTGAGTTCTTGAAGAACTTTCTTGAAGATTTATGTATTTTATGGAGGATTGAGTTAGTTTTACGGTGGAATTGATGGAATGAAATATAAAATTAGTAGGGATTACTCACCTTGAAGATGAGGGGAGTTGGAGGTCTTGAGAGAATGGAGGAAAACCCAAAAGTTCGGCCAAGAAAAATGGGGTAAAATGACCCACGAATGAGTATATAGCGTTTCGGACGTCACACGTAGCGTGGGCCGCTACCTACGGCCCAATTTCCAGAACCTCAAAAATCCCAGCGCCAGGGCTAGCGCCCCACGCTACCTTGGGCGCTGGCAATGGGAAATCTTTTCTATTTTGCCCGGAAATGGGCATAACTCTCTCATACGATGTCCGAATTCGACGATTCTTTTTGCTATGGCTCCGTAATTTCAATACGAATCTAATGCTTCAATCAAAACTGAATTTGGAGCTGATTTGGTTATTGTGATACCAATATACTCGAAGAAGCAACGTCGAAACATCCTAGAAATGTCCAATTTAAATTCCGGGCATACTCCCGAGTCTAAAATCACAATCCGGACCTAACGAAATTATCAAAACTCCGATTCGAGGTCGAATACAAAAGAAAACTAAAAGTTGAACATAAATCCCATGGGTCTCCTTTAATACTAGAATACGTTACTCCCGAATACCGTTGTCGCACTTTAAAATCTTAAATCATTAGAAAATTTTAACGGGGCCTTACAAATTTATTTGAAGAATTTTACGAGGTTTTATACTTAAGTACTTCAAAATTTTCTGGGGTGTTACAACTACCAACTAAATTATTCATTTTATTATTTTTGAAATAATGAATCTTATTAGATAAGGAAATTAATGAATTAGAATTTGTAGATTGATACAATATAAATAAAACTCAAGATAAAAGTGTGTCAATGCTAAGCAAAACCATACCCCAAAATTCGGTGTGACACGTGCATGAGCATTTACTAAGGAGTACAATTATAATACAACATCTATCCCGGGACACCCGATACCCAACCTGAACATACTCCCAAGTCCAAAATTATCATACGAACCTATTAGAACCTTCAAATCCCGATTCTGAGGTCGTTTACTCAAAAGTCAATCCTTAGTCAACTCTTCCAACATAAAGCTTCCAAATTGAGAATTTTCCTTCCGAATTAACTCCGCACTTCCTGAAATTCAATTTCGACCACACGTACAAGCCATAAGGTGAATCTACTCAAGGCCTCAAACTGTCGAACGACGCGCTAGAGCTCAAAATAATTGGTCGGGTCGTTACATTCTTCCCCACTTAACATACGTTCGTCCTTGAACGTGCCAAGAACCGCTCCGAAATTGCCCAAAACCATTGTTTAACACCTAGTGCACTTGCATGTGCTACCACAACCCATGTGAGCACATTAGCTCGAGCCAGACTGAAGATCCTTCCTTCTACCTTAGCCCCCAAGACTTAGAACCAAATTCCAATACCCGGATTTCTCCACAAGACCTGATTCTAACATACGAACACCGTATCAATCTCAATCCGTTGTACCTAATGTGATCATGCACCCATGCTGAAACCACACATTGCACCCCCTAATTCGTATGCCCATAATAACATCCTCCAACCGTAGAAGTTGTAAATTCACTAACCTGATGCCCGTAGTATACCTCATAACGCATATAAGCCCTGATCCAACCCTCGCGATACTTCAACGATGAAAGCAACAGGTAGAAGCTCATAACCACCTGCCAGATCATTAAATCTTGAAGTCTCTCCGCTTTGCAAGAACCATTACCTTATTCTAAACTGAATAGTGACACTTTCTCTTTAATATACCTTACATAAATT